TCGCATGTTGATGTATTTGTGTATAGATGACAGACCTAAAAAAAGCGCAGCAAAATTTTAACAGCAATTATCAGGAGTGGTGGGATGATAGGTAGTTGTGATTTTTGCTTTATATTTTACCTTCAGAACCAAATCTTTCAAGAGAGTAGCCGTATTATTCTCATTTACTACCTCCCAACTATGACCTAACAGCTACTCTAATCTTTTTTCATCTTCTGGGTTCTTATTGAGAAAAATTCTACCTGATCATTTTAAATCAGTATAAAGTATACAAGAAGAAAAAAAATAAAGTATACAAGAATATATTAACATAATGTCATTGAAGAAGATTCAAATGATAACATATAAAATGTAAGTCACGAAACTCCCCTGTTAGCGCATATGGCTGCTCCACCTCCTCCCCACATACAAATTCCCTCTTGAGGTAAAACTACTAGTAATTAGTTGGTGTCCATTCTTTGAGTAGCTCATGTATTAATTAGGAGTTTTGTACCATACCCTGCTATGCAAATATACATACTTATTGGGTTATGTTATTCCTTTGTTCTTTGATGATACCAATGACATTTTCTCTTTTCTAATATTGTTTATTCAGTGCTCCAGAACCCGAAACGCAAGATGCCAGAATCCCAATGGAGAAACTTCCCCGGTGGGTAAAATCTTTAATCTATACTTGGTGTTCCAGGGTGCAAGAAAAGAAAATTAGGAATCAAAATCCAAGTTCATTTGGTGAGATGCCTCTTAAATCCTCAAATGTAAATACCAGCCCTGACCTATGAGGCCAAGGGCAGAAATAGAGAGGATGAACCAAACCTGTGGAAAGAAAACTGCTTTTCAATCCTTCTTGCTTTTCATTAGTTACTGTCATCTTCATCCTCTTCCTCCTCATCAGTGTTATTAATCCAGATTTATGGAGACAGTAAAAGGTCTTGCAAAGATGAAATTATAAGACCAAAACGTTGTAGATTTTTTAAAAAACCTAGAAAGATTTTTGTCAAGTTTTCAAAGCCAGATATTAAAATAGCACTTCCAAAAGTGTTTCAGCGAGCATTATATCCATGTGATGTTCATAGGCATTGCTTGAAGAAAAGATGTTATGTGCTCAGATCACACTAGATTAAACCAAGTCAGAGTATGTTTGCTTTACTGTAGGACTTCTCAGAGCATTTCATATGCTAAAGTACATTGTTACTCTCTAAAACAGGGGTGGGCAAACTTTTTGACTCGAGGACCACAATGGGTTCTTAAACTGGACCGGAGGGCCGGAACAATAGCATGGATGGAGTGTTTGTGTGAACTAATATAAATTCAAAGTAAACATCATTACATAAAAGGGTACGGTCTTTTTTTTCAATAGTTTTATTCATTTCAAACGGGCCGGATCCGCCGTAGTTTGCCCACGGCTGCTCTAAAAAGTGGTTACAATATGCTAATATTTCACTGGTTCATTTGACCACAGAACCCTTTTTATTTTTCTTAATAAGGCTTTTCATTACTGAATGCTAAAGTTTCTATCTGAAAGAACAGGGAATCCTGAGGAGTTCCTGGGTAGGACATTAATATGATGAAAACTATGTTTGGAGGAGGTTATTTTAGAAGGTAGAATAAAATGACTAAGAGAGAGTGGGGAGGAAATGGTGACAGATTTCTAGTAATTGATACTGGAGAACTTGACTATAGACAGGATCAGAGAGAGGCGAATCTCGGAGAAAATAAAAGGAGGTCATTGATGAAGTTAGGGGATAATTGGGGTGTCTGAGACAAATCTTAGTCCAGTGTGTCCTCCCAGGCCTGGGTCACTGAGCAGAGTCATGCCCATGAGGGTGATGAAGTCACTGTGAAAGAGAAAACTGTTTAAAGATTAGGTAAAGCTTAGCTGAAACACATTTGTCTTTAAATCAACCCAATGCATTCAGACAAAATAGAAACTTTATAAGGCAGTTAAAGTTAGTGCCTCATATTCAGGACAAGCTCCTATGGCCTGGGAGGGCAGGGATGGTGATCAGAGGATGAGGTGACCTATCTGGACAGACTGGATTTGGGGCAGCCCCTGGTCTTCCTCCGACCCACCTGGCAGACCTTCAGGCAAGCTGAGTTAAGGATGTTTTTACAGGTGTGAAGAGGCAGGGTGCGGGGGCCTGCTGCGACCTTATGTAGTGTGGTTTGGAGAAAACCTGGACTCTGCCATTCTGGAGGAGGTTGACAAAGAGCTGGCCCTCTGTGACTTATGTCTCGTGGTAGGTTTCGTTCTTACCTGATTGTGGGGATTTTCTGAAACACCAGGACTGGGGTGGAGATTAATGTTGTTCCCTCCCTCCCTCCTTCCCTCCCTCCCTCCCTCCCTTCCTCCTTCCCTCCCTTCCTTCTTCCCTCCCTCCCTTCCTTTCTCTCTCCCTCCATCCCTTCCTCCCTTCCTACTTTTCTTCCTTCTTTCCTTCTCTTAAGATGTGTTTTGAGAGTTGTGGTGTTCTACATAAAAACTAAAAAATAGTGAATAAGAATTTATCTTAAAATACAAAACAATGCAAGACCATGTCTTCGGCTTCTCAAATCCTTTTCTCCCCACAAAAAATATCATAAAAAGAGCATGTTATTGGTTCTAATTTTTAAAATAATACATGCTCATTATTAAATTTAATTGAGAAAACACAAAAAGAAGAAATTAAAAATCCGATAATTCTACCATACAAAAATAATCAGTTAGCATTTTAGTATGTTTTCTTCTAGACCTGGGATGAGCAAACTGTGGCCTATGGGCCAAATCTGACCTGCCAGCTGTTTTTGTAAATGAAGTTTTATTGGAACATAGCCATGCCCTTTCTTCTTTGTATTGTCTATAGTTACTTTCACACTACTTTGGCAGAGCTGAATGTTTGCAACAGAGACCATGTGGCCTATAAAACCTTAAAAAAACAGCACTATTTCGTCTTTTACAGAAAAAAGTTTGCACACCCCTGGTCTAGACCTTTCCACATGTAGATGTACACATATTGATTAAAATTTTTAAGACTGTTTTCATACTCCCAAAACACTAATTAGAAAGAATATATGCACCCTATGTTAATTGCAGCCTTATTTAAAATAGTGAAGATATGGAAGCAACCCTAGTGTCTATCAATAAATGAGTGTATAAGAAAGATGTGGTACATATATACAATGGATTACTACTCAGCCATGAAAAGAATGAAATCTTACCATTTGTGACAGCATTGATGGACCTAGAGGGTATTGTGCTAAGTGAAATAAGTCAGACAGAGAAAAATAAATACCATATGATTTCACTTACATGTGGAATCTAAAGAACAAAATAAATGAACAAAAATAAATTGAAACAGAGTTAGAGATACAGAGAACAGACTGATGGTTGCCAGAGGGGAGTTGATTGGGGGACTGGGTGAAAAAGGTGAAGGAATGGATAATTACTAATTGGAAGTTATGAAACAGTCCTGGGGATGTAAATTATAGCTTAGGGAATCTAGTCAATAATCTACACTAATAAAAGACAAACACGTAAATTGACCATACCTTTGCTACACCTTAAGCCATGCCCACCAGCCAATCAGAGCGACTATATGCAAATTAACCCAACCAAGATGGCGGCTGGCAGCCACAGAGCTGGAGCAAGCAGGAGGCTTGGTTGCCCCAATGATGGAGGAAGCCAAACTTCCTGTGGGGGCTCTGAGCTCCACTCAGAGCAACAAAGTTTCAATTATAGAAGGTAAATAAACCCCAGATACCTGCTTTCAGCCAG